AATGTAAACAAAGCTTAGCCTGCGTGTGTTTACATTTCTCCCGGAAACTGCAGTACACTTTACTTTATTGGGTTAATATTATTATCCTTGGATCAAATAAATTAATATGATTTCTTCTATCCACCATGAGATTTAGACAACTTTGAAAGTTAGTCATCAAAGTGTTAGACAGCCTCGACTTTAAAGTGTTGCAACAATTGTCTTTTTTCTTTTACTTTTGTGTAGCCCTAGGCATATAGATTTTAAACTTCCCACTCAACTTTTTTGCAGTACGGGATGAGCAATATAGATTGATTACCCATGCATTTGTTTTCATTTAACCAGAATTTTAATTTATTAGAAAAATAAATATCATCCAACTCTAACCCCCTCTGCAAATTCATGATCAATACTTTTAAGTTTTTAAAACCAATTTTGATTTCAAAATACAGGGTATATTAGTTCCAAAACTAACACTTGTCCCATTTCTAACACTTAAGCAGCAAAGCAGGATTTCAAAGTAATTAAGTCACAGTTTAAGTTAAATAAATCTTTAATACACTACACAATTGCTGAGTCTCGTGTTCATGGGATTATTTGAAGTCATAAACGTTAATTTTCTATTTCAGAGTTTTCCGTTCTCACTGTCAGCAATATTTTTACTGTTGATCAATCCTAGATAAAAGTCAGAGTCCTGGGATTTAAAACATTTTTGTAATCTTATAATCCTGAGCTGAGATTTAAAAATAAAACCCAATCTTGAGCTTTCCTTTTGCTCAGGTCTTCCCTTGGGTCTACAATTAGACCGAATGATTCTAATTGGTTCTGATTTGACCAATGAGAGAGCTCAGTTTAAATTTCGAAAACTCAAACCGTACATATGAAAAGTATTCCATAGTGTGTTCATTTTACAAATCTAGCTAATTTTAAAACTAAAGATAATTCCGTAGATTTTAAATGTAACAATATGATAGTATTACAAAATTTACCATCTTCAACCTTATGAGACTTGAGCCTTCAAGAGTTGAAAACCCAAGTCGATTGGTTTTTACCCGGCCAATTCTACCCTAAACTCTTTAGTTGAGCTTCACTTGCAGAGGTCTATTTTTTTGATGAGCTGTCCTTGAAAAGTTGGACTAGGAACATGAGACATACTCCCCTATAGTAACTCATCTCTCTCAACTCTAAGGACAAAATCATAGGGCGGTAGAAAACAGTCCCTTCCCCTCAAAAGGAATTAAGTCAAAAGAACTGAGTTCTTGCAACAAACTCTGATTTTCCGATCCTTATATCTTTGAAATCCGACGTTGTATACATATACTTTTTCAAACCATGAAACTAAATCGCAATAGCATGTAAGAGAATAAAAGCATATATTAAAACCGACAAAATTATTTATCTAAGATAAAATAAAGTGTGTAATAAATTAAAATCAGTTTTTTAGTCTCTAAAAATGAAAAAAATATGTTTTTTAAATATAAAATGAACATGAATTTGTGTCAATTGAACACACATTAATATAAAAGAGAACAATATTTTTTATACAAACATTGATTGTTAAACAAAAATTGATATATTTTAAAAAAATAATGGAAACTAGAGGATCTACAGAGTCACAAAGTCGTAGCAGTAATTTTGCAGATTAAATCTTTTCTTGATGTCCAGATTAAAGTGTAGGAATGTTGAGTCAAAATATTTAGTATATATGTAAGATCTTTAAAATAATCTAAATTATTTTTTTAATTTGTATAATGAACATTGGAGAATGTAAAAACCAAAATTAAAAATTGTCGCAAATTAGAACTGACGAAACAAAGCTTCAAAAAAACAGGTCTTCAAATCCTGTTCTGTACTTGTATAATGCATGTATACCTGTAAAAACAATAAATGAAAATTATCATATTATTAGGCTGAGCCTCCTTCAATCCCCTGAAGTCCTAAAGCTGGCAAAAAAAGAGTTAAGGGTTAAAGGTATTTTTATATTAATCAAGTTGAATTTCAACTTCTTGATATTTTAGAATAAAATTGTATTCAAAATTATCTATATTTAACTATTATTTAGGTAAATGACATAGGAGTGCCTGAATTGTTCTAAACAAAAGTCCTGGTTTGCTTTACAACTGAAACCAGAAAAAAACACCCTGGGGACAAAATTTAACTTCTATGGGACAGAGCAGATTATTGTGAGAACTGACAAGGATGACGTCTAGTGCACCGTTAGAAGAAATCCTGTGGCCGTATTCGACTTATTGAAAAATAAATTTCCCCCCAGCAGGAATAGGGTTAAATCATGTTCTGTACTTTTAAATTGCATGTATACCTGTAAAAACAATAAATGAAAAATTTCATATTATTAGGCTGAACCTTCTTCAGTCCTAAAGCTGGCAAAAAAAAAGTTAAGGGTTAAAGGCATTTTTATATTAATCAAGTTGAATTTTAACTTCTTGATATTTTAAAATAAAATGTATTCAAAATTTTCTTTATTTAACTATAATTTAGGTGAATGACATAGGAGTGCCTGAATTGTTCTAAACAAAAGTCCTGGTTTGCTTTACAACTGAAACCAGAAAACAAACACCCTGGGGACAAAATTTAACTTCTATGGTACAGAGCAGATTATTGTGAGAACTGACAAGGATGACGTCTAGTGCACTGTTAGAATAAATCCTGTGGTCGTATTCGACTTATTGAAAAATAAATTTAGTTGATACAATTTCATAAAGGTTCAATGAAATCTGATAAAGGTTCAATAGAATCTGAAAAAGGTTCAATAGAATCTAAAAAAGGTTTGTTGTCGGATAGAAACAAGATTCTCAATGATGAACAAACAAACAACAGAATAAACCCCAAATCAAAACCGATAAAAAAGAAAACTCTTTATTTCCTGAAAAAAATTATATAAATAATAACATATAAAATTGTTACAATGAATGTTTATAATGAAAAGATTCTTACGATCTATTTTGTGATATCAAGGGTTAAGTCGTTGGACAGTCCGAAGAGGTTTTTTTAAACTTCTGAAAAGAATGACAATTAATTATTAACGAAAGTCACTAATTCTTTATGTAAAATATTCTTTGTTTAACTTTTAAAAATGGATGGATTCACAATGCTTTAAGTTATTTACACTCCGATGGGAGAACAAAGTTCCCGGAACTTAAAATTATTTGGTTTGGATTTTAGTGTCTCCGAGAGGGGATTCTAAGTTAAAGACGACTTTACACGTATCATAGTTAATGGTTGACAAGGTTCTATAGAATCTCCTAAAGGTTCCAAAGAATCTAATAAAGCTTCATGATATGAATAGCATAGTGTGTTTATTTAAGAATTATCTGTAATTTTGATGACTTTTCCATGAAGATAACACATGGAAATATATGGGAACTTCTGTAGTTCCAGAAAATACATTTTCATGGCTACATCAAAGATAAAATACATACTTTTTTTGGAAGTGTTTTTTATTTTGTACAATAAATGCAACCAGATTATGTTAATGTAATAAATTGTTTATGTTTTGCTCCAAATGATATAAATACAAAACTTAAAAACTAACAATTAATTATTTAAATTTGAAACTTGAGCAAAAATGTTACATTTTCTTCCAATTTAACATTCTAAATCATTTAGTTTTGTCAAATAAAATTTTAGTAATAACTAGTATTAGTTAAAACTATTTGTGAAAAAAATGTAAGCCATGTAAAAAAGTGAAAATATATGTTTTACCGGCTTAGGATTATTTAGAAAAAAATATGTATTTTTTGAAGTTCATTCCTTTTTAAAAAAAACTATAAAAAATAATTATTTCAATCTTTGATTTTAACACCGTGTGTACTTAAATACTCTTTATCCACAGGAATTGAATTTTTGCTACAAACTCAAATTTTCTAATCCATATCTTTGCAACCAAATGGTCTAAACGGATGATATTTCAAAATTAAACTATAAGGTCTAACATATCAAAAGTCTACGATATCGGGTTGCTAAGATAAAGAGGGGAAACAGTTAGTCATTCAATACTCTTCAAAAGAGTAAGGACAAACTCCTGATGATGCCAAAGCTTTTGGCGAAATATATTGAGAAGAAAATGATATAATTCTAGTGCTAGAGAGTAGGGTTGGGATTTGTTTAAAAACGATCTAAAGAAAACAGTTAGAGTTTGTGGCATAAACTCATTTCATTTCCTCCCAATTCTATATATTAACCATCTACTTTCCAAAAGATTCTAAAGTTAAAACAATTTGTTTTAATATAATAACTGTCAACTCTAGAAAGTATGTGTGCAAGTTTTAAATGTTTTAACAGTACCCTGTGTACTCTGCATATACATATATAAATTGAAATCAAGGTTTTAATTATTTCGTTTATTTTTCGTCCTTGAGTGTACACATATAGGCTATGATTGTGATTATAAACTATTGAAATCTAATCTAACAGTCTCTATATTCATTTAAATATCTTGGTAGATATAGAACCCATTTAGGATTTTGATTTTGAAACCATCTACTAAGGAACTGAATACTTGCCACAAACTCTTATTCTCAAGTCCACATTTTTTTGCAACCTGATGGTGTGAACCTTTGATATTTCAAGCATAGTCATAAGGTGACAAAGATATAGGAATTAGATATTAGAACTTCTTATTAACAATTTTCTAACATGGAATTCGAAAAATTTATTTAATCTTTCATTATTTTAGTCAAGTATAAGTTTTTATTACTGTCCTTATACATTCCTTATAAACCACAAAATCAGTTTTTAAATAAAAAAATTCTTTGGTAACTTTTAATCAACATTAAGCTTCTCATAAAGTGACACTTTTTTAAAGTATTCTATTGTTATAAATTTCACCAATATCAAGTAAATAGTTTTTGATAGGTTTTTCATCAAATCATAGATAATATAATGATAAGAACTTTTTAGTTGCACACATATTTATATTTTTTATGTTTCAAAGTGTGATATTTAAAACTTCTGTACTCTATTCCTTTTCATTTTATTCAGAACAATTAACAAGAACTTGCTGCATTAAATCCAATTTATTTTTAGAAAAGACAATATTTGAAATCAAATTATTAATTTAAGCTACAAATAATGAACAAAAATCTCTGTATCAATTACAAGGAATTGATACAGAGGCATGGTTACTATGTTCATATTGCAGAGGTTCCTCCCTCCACGCTTCTCCCTCAAGGATCTCCAGGCTGTCTGCACCTCCATACCCTCCAAATACTACCCGGTTGTTGTCCAACACCTCCATTGTTAGATACCATCTCCCCCTGGTTAGCTTAGGTCCACTCCTCCAGGTGTTTGTAGACGGTGTGAGTACTTCTACAATATCTAGATCTTCATTATTGTATCCTCCAGCTGTCCATATTTCTCCCTTAAACATGCTGCATGCAAGTGCATACCTAAACAAACAAATATTAAACACAATATTCATATAATATGGTTTTAGAAAGTTTAGTTATAATTTTATGTTATTTTATAATATATGATTTTTTCATAAATGCAATTTATCACAAAGGAACTGAGTTTTAGCCACAAACCCAATTTTTCTAATCCCCATTTCTTTGCAATCTGATAGTTCAGACATTTGATTCTCAAAATTGGATAATTTTATCTTACAGAATTCATTATTTTAAATATTAAAGGTCTATGACATTTGGTTGCAAAGATATATGAATTATAAATTAAGAGCTTGTGGCAAAAAATCAATTCCTTAAATAGCAATGAAAAGTTTTATTATTTAGAAAGCACCAGACAAAGAGTAGGAGTATGAAATAAAAAAAATTGTTGATAATATTAGATTTGAATATTTCATTAATTAAATACCTTTGTAAATTAATGTATATTCACTGTATGTATTTGTGAGAAGTATTTTCAAACTTATTCATCAATTTAAGAATGACGCTATTAGTATTAGAAAAATCATGAAAAATATAAAATAGAACATGTCTAAATGTTTCAGTCTTCAGATATATTTTAGAAAGATTACCTTGCAGTTGGCATTGATGGAAGCTCTGCAATGAATCCCTCTTCAATACTGTAGACTTCAACAAGAGATAAGTAGTCGTTAGTATATCCTCCAAGCAGCATGACTTGACTCTCACTAGAATATAAAATGTTAAGAAATATAAAAAGAATTAAATAATGCTAACAGTTTTATTTTTGATGATATTATCAATGATTCTGTTCATTTGTGCCAACTTTTGATGTAAGATATCCTTAAATATTTACAGTTTGTTCTTTTAAAAAGGGGAATTTAGCAAAGTTGAACAATGTTTGTAATAAAAATATAAGTAGATACATCTTACTAGATTTATTTTTGAAAACATGGTGGAAAATATTTGACAACAGCATATATTCTGTATAAGAATTCATCTTATTTCATCATTATTGATTAATTATATGTGTGCACTTG